TTTTTCTTTCGCGTCACTTGCGGTATATATATACATATATATATATATATATATATATATATATATATGCTGTCTTGAGCAAGCCGACCAGACTTTTTCTAGACGCTCCACATAGAATGATCGATTTCCTGGTAGATTGAACGAACATGAAAAATATTCATGCACTTTGTACATTCCAGGTTTGTGTGAACATCAACACAAAAAACTGCTACTGGAAGTCGCAAAGGCTCAGGATTTGGGTGAGTCTTCATATAAAATGATGTCATTGCGTACATGCAACCAATCGATTCCGTCAGGGACTTTCCCCAGTTACGGCTTTACTTTCTCGTCGGTATCGTCATGGTTTACCTCTTCATACGAAAAGCTCGTGACTGCACCAGTAATTTTGTTTCCTGACAGCACACACTACCCCGAAGGTCGCCGAAAACTGTTTGACAGCCTACGACCGGTTTCGCCCTTCTTTGGGGCTCACCACGTAGGCGCAGTCTCCGAGTTTCTATAAGCCTTATGTTCTATTTGAGCACAAATTGCACTAACTTAGCGTAATGCACTCGTTCGCATTCCACGGGAGGTCCAACTGAATCTGTTGTTCATGATATTCCTCAATTGAACGTGCTGCACAAGGGCCGCCTCATGTTTCACTTGGTATGATATTCGAAATATCGCAGTATGCTTTCATAAAGGAAACTACTCACAAGTTTGATGAAAACTCTTTTGCATTCCACGACCGGTTTCACCATTTTTGGGGCTCATCAGATAGGCGCAGTCCCCAAGTTTGCGTCAACCTTATGTTCTACTTGAGCCCAATTAATTTGGTTTTCACGACAGACTCAACTGAATCTCTCGTTTATGATATTCTACAACTGAATGTGCTGCACACAGGCCGCCTCATGTTTCAGTTGGCACGATATTCGATATATTGCAGTATATTTTCATGAAGGAAACTACTCACAAGGTTGCTGAAAACACTTCGATAGCCCACGACCGGTTTCACCCTTTTTGGGGTTCATCAGGTTGACACAGTCCTCGTGTTTCCTCAGGCTTATATCTTACTTGAACACCAAATTGCACATAATTGACCTATTCGGAGATTACGGTAAACTCAGCAGCATCTCTCGTTTATGATATTTTTCAAATGGATTTACTGCATAAAACGTATTTTGATGTGGCTTGAAAAGCTTCAGAAGTCCTTTTTCATAGAACTGGAAAGGCTTCCATTTGGCTGCTTGATTACTGAATACCTGGAAGCATTCTCTGCGGTACGCAACGAACTTCTACACAATATTGTCAGTGCCGCTCATAAGAAATCACACTCGGTGTCTGATTCTAAGCCGACAACCATAAGACTCAATGCGCTCTAAACCGCGCGTGTTTATCCAACCGCTGAATGCCTATGGTCTCCACAACCTTGAAGATCAATTACAACCTGATTACCAGAACCGTATCGAACGTTCGATCGCCTCTGTCACCCATTCATTGCGGGACTTAGCTAGTAGCAACTCGTTGCATTGGGGACGCCAGGGGTATGAGCTACATACTTCCATCCACCACCTGCCGAAGATAGCAGTGTTCTCTGCTCCTATTTGAGCGCTGTGAATCGCTTCCCTGTTTCCTCTTATATGCAACGAATACGAGAGAACACTATCTGTAAAAAAAGCACGAGCATCTCGAGTTCGCCGTTTTTTTCTCGTCCACGCGTAGCTGATCCCCTGTGGATGACTCGATTTCCCCTCTAGCTTCAACACACCTGTCACCTTCCATTCTTCGTTTTCCCGTTCTGCTTTCTTCTTCAGGTACCATTGAAACATGGCTTCCGTTCCACCTCTACGACTATTCCGAGTACTATTCATACTTGCCCGAAGAACAACTTAAGGAATTACTGCGGGTCAGTGGGTGCGCGCCGCAGAACATTATGGACGATCGTGGCTCCCTGGATGTAACGCATGCCTCATCAGCTGACTTGGCGGAACTACCAGCCAATTTGCAGAACCTCTTGGGCAGCATCGACCTCATCCCCAGAGCCAGTTTGGGGCAGCCTCCTCCACCGGAAACGAAAATTGTACCTCCCCGGATTCCTAATCGATACAAAATGGAGGAAGATCACAAGGCACTGGTTGCGAAACGTAGAAAGTCACGTACTCTGATACTGCAATAGCTCTGCCGCACGTTCATCCACCCAACTGTAACATATTTTTTCGAATAGACTATTGTACTTCCTGTCTGAGAATTTGCTGCCATGGTTGTTGGACGCTTAGCGTTTTTTTCTTCGGTTCACACTGATCCCTTGGGGTTATTTTGACCTTGAACTATCTCATTCTTGGTCTGTGCAGACTAGCATTTCCATTTTAGGTTCTCTCTGAATGACAGGCCCATGGACGGGATGATAACGACAGCTAATCATCCCAACGTGTCACCAACAAATTGGACCTTACTAATCTTTGGTCCCTACAGAGTATCTGTCCGAGAACCGATCAACTGAGACTGAACGCACACTGCTCGCATTTAAGTTCTACAATGGGGCGAGATGGCCCAAGTGGTTAGAGCGCGAATTTACTGACCAGAAGGTCCGTGGTTCGAACCCGACCTCTGGTGCTCGACTTTCCCAGTCTAGGCTTGGGCAACCTGGCAGTATCCCAGCCCTCGTACAACCTTCAGGTGGCATGGCAGTTAGGCACCGAAAGGGTGCTACAGCTGGACGATTTAAGTTCTATCTCCGAAAAGAGGTCATCGCGGGGTGAAGGGAGGAATAAAGAGCTCTTCTTAGGCGTGTTTTTCCTCTCCTCATCCTTGCGTTGCTTTGATATTAATGGATAATTATAGCTTACACGAGATTTATTTCTATGAATGATGCATTCGCACTCACCCGACAAATGAAACTTTCGTCTGAGGACTGGTCACTCGGGCAGCCAGTCAGTACGTAACTGCGTGATTGATTGAAGGTTGAGCGACGCTATATTCTGTATAAGTACGAGGCGAGATGGCCCGAGTGGTTAGAGCACGAAATTACTGACCGGAAGGTCCGTAATTCGAACCCAACCTCTGCCTCTCGACTTCCCCTTGGGCAACCTGGCAGTGTTCCAGCTCTCCTGCTTCTTTCAGGTGACATGGCAGCTAGGCACCGAAAAGGTGCTAAAGCTGAACGATTTTTTTCGACTTTTATAAGTTCGAGTTGATCACACTGCTGGTCGGCCAGGTACTCGTGGTCAAAGAGTAAAGCGATTCAGCTACTGACTGGGAACTCGTGGGTTCGAAACTCCCTGGAGTTTTGTGAGACGCCCACTCCTAATAAGGATAAAATAGACCGGCGGGACGAAATCCCCATTTGAAAATGCCTAACTTTACCTCTCACGCAGTAAAATCAAGTATGTGCTCTGCAATCCTACTAAATGAGATTCTGTTCCAGTCGGGCTGTTATCGCGCGACTGAAACATATGTATGCTAAAGAGCTAAAAAAAATATACAACGTTTTTTAAACTCTTGTCGGGAATCTTCACTGTTGCACATCTCATCCTATAATTGTTTCAGTCAATATTTTATGAGTAGCTCAGAGGAGAACAATTGACGGGTACTTGAACCTCCCAGCTCAGAGCCACCCAACACGTGATTGAGAGATGAGTAGTGCTACACGGCTTGGTATTCAACTACTCCCAACAGACTGCAAAAACGAATGTTCCTGGTGATCTGTGAGATACACACTACTGATGATCCCCAACAAGAGTGAAACAGCTATAAAGCGCTTCTTCGCTTTCCGGCACAAATTGACTTCGCTTGTAGGGCGAAAGCTTAGCTGGAAATTTCGACTAATTCCAACTTCACTTTCCTCTCTCATTTTCGAGGGTTTGTGAACTTCTGTTCACATTATGTATCGTTCAGCTGTAACACCCTTCCGGTACGTAGCTGCCATGCCACCCGCAGGAAGCATGAGGCGTGGGATACTGCCAGGTTACCCAAGCCTAGACAGAGTAAATCAAGAGGCAGAGGTTGAGTTCGAACCACGGACTTCCCGGTCAGTAAATTCGTGCTCTAACCACTTGACCCATCTCGCGCCCACATTATGTATGAAACAGCCAGTTATTTATACAAACTCTTCTCGCCAGGAGACACCAACCGTTTCCAGTTAGACTTACATATTGACGAATTGCTGGTTAATTTGTGTCACAAGGCAGTTACAACATTTCGTTGAGGTACGTGGTGCCTATCTCTGCTTTGACATCTACCGCTTTCCTCGAATCGGGGCTCCTTGAAGTCCTCTGCTGTTCGCGCTATCACGGAACCACCAGCTCGAATTCGATGACAGTCCCATTCGTAACTAAAATAGCTCTCCAGATAACACTCCTTGTCACCAAGGGTAACTAACGTCATCCCAATCGGTGTTACAGGTGTCGCGATCAATTGCACAATTTATCTTTTTTCGAATATTACAGTTCATCCACGCAGGTTTTCTCTTCTCTGTACATTCTGTGCGTTGCGCATACTCTTCGAGTACACCACAGTTCAATTAAGGGGATTTCTGCAGCTCATCGGTTGCTTTGAGGCGGATTGTAAAAGTCTTCTTTTGACCTTGTGGGAATATTTTCAAAACGCCACACTCTCGACATGTTGTTGGGTGGGGTCGGTGAGTGCTGTGAATAGTTTTCACTCTTCTTCGTCATTTTTGAACAATACTACAGATACTTAGTAGGTCAGTAGTTGGTCTTGCTTCGTCTCGGATGCGTCCCGCCATACAGGTGACTGATATACTCTCCACCCATAAAAATACAGGTAGATCAGTTAACACATGGCTGTCTGATAATTGTTCGTTAGTTGTTTCTTATTGTCCCAGTTCGGAATGGTTTTACTGTCATTTCGCACTTCCGTGGCACTGCTCACGATGAGGCGGTCGATGGGAATATATCTTTCATTTTATGGAATAATTGATCAGCATAATGACTTTCAGTGTTCCAACATTCAGGGTATCAAATCTCCTCACTTTACCGTCAGCATCTGTTATTTTTGGTAATCGCTCGCCAGCCGTTCCTAATGACCGAACATCACGTCAATTAGTCGGATGTCACGTGCGCACTACGGACTAAACGAAGGCACGTCTTGATTGGTCAGAATGTCTACGGACCAGACCGAAGACAACAAGAACACATGTCAGTGGGATCCTTCATAGAAAATGTAACGTTCGTTCCAGCTAGAAGGAGCGATGTGCAGCAGGTTTATAAGTCCTTAATTTCTCAACTTTGGGCTTTTCTCAAACAAGCACGACCGGCAAGCAAAGAAGTTCTGGCGGGACTTCTGAGGGTGAGACTCTTGGAGGAAGTTTTGAACATAGTTACTTGACACCGCGTAAAATGAATACTGATGTGTAAGCATGACTTGGCGATGAAGAATGGAGGACCTTAAACAGACTACTCAGTTGCGTTACTAACTGCCGTCTCCCCAGATGATAAGATAGAAAAATGAGATTATCGTTCAACTGTAATACCCTTTCGGTCCCTAGCTGCCATGCCATCCGAAGGAAGCATGAGGGCTGAGATAGTGCCAGGTTGCCCAATTCTACACAGGAGCAGTCGAGATACACAGGTCGGGTTCAGATGGGGACGCGTGACGAAACAAACCAGTGGTTAGTGGCTTTGACAGATGTCACGTAACCAATGGTTATCTTGCATCAGAGTGAGCACCACCAAGTAGCTCTCGCTCCCTTTGCCGTCACTGCACAGACTGCCTCGCGTGGTCCTCATTCCCTTATTCTCCCTTTTACCAGGAATAGGCCAACCTTAACTTGGGGTTATTGACAGTGTTCCTCGTGAACCTGATTCAGTTTGGAACTCCGAACTTCTTTTCACCATCTCTAGAGTTGTGGAAAGTTGGGCTTTCTCAGTCGACGTTCTGTGTGTGCCTTTGAGCATAGGCCGCAGTCTGGCGAGCCCCTGCTTCGGATGTCTGTCGAATCTTTTCGTTGGTTTGAGTGACTTGGTATTATATGAATTTTATTCAGGTTGCGAGCACCCCTGGAAGGATTTAATAGTTTCACGAGTTGGCGTAATTTCTTATTAGTTCAACAGTTTGTGACACCCCGCCATCTAATCTCGTTTG